AGGAGCCGCATCCACCTGAGCGAAATGGTCCCTCACCCGGCATTTGGGGTCTGCTTCCAGCTGGAGTACGTCTTCTGCACCTCGGGGATTGCCGACGGGAAGGTAGGGCTGGGGGTGCCGTGCCTGGTCTCTGTCCCTCATTAAAGAGCGGAGATCTGCCGCGGGGGAGCCAGCCCTGCTGAGTAACTCCATCCTCTGCCCCTGTTTCGCTGTCCTGCACCCCCAAGACGCAGCGGCTCCTCCTCAGGCGGCCGTGCTGCCTAACGAACGCCGCGCTGCATAACGAATGGCCCCGCGAGGTGTCCAGGTGCTTTCCGCAGCGCTGTGTGAAATATCCTGGAAATGGGCTTATTGAATCCTTTTAATTACACGTGGTTACACTTCTCCATTGTGTATATGTATATGGGGAAAGGTGGCCTGCAGCAGTCCCATAGTGTTCTGGCAAGCTAATTTGGAAAACCTCAGCCTTTTTAAATTTAAAAGAGGCTTTTCTTTAGAATTTAGTATTTATGCTGAAAAGAAGTTAACCTTCCTGCTCTTTTTTTCCCCTGAATGCTGAGGTTTTTCAGTGATCCTCAGCCTGATGTTCTCCAGAAGTCTCTCTACTGACTGTGGAGACCATTCTTGCTAACGCCTACTTACCCATCATTTCTATGTATTTGGGTTTAACCTTTCTGCAGGTTAAGCTCAGTTTAGCGAGCCATTCAGTTGTCCCCTCCAGGGACCCTTTGCTATTGGAGCCATTAGCTCGTAGTGATGCTGAATCGATGGCTGTGGGTGGGTTCATTAGGAGGCCCTAGTCTCCTCCTAAGGCGCTCTTTGAAAATGCAGCAAGTGTCCTCTCTTACTAGAGTTGTCCAGAGCAAAACTGGGGGGGAAATGGGTATTTCTAAAGCAGGACACGTGTGCCAGGCCAGAGGGATTTGTGTTGAGAGGGGGAGAAGAAGCTGAGCCTTGCTGTCGGAAATTACCTGTTGGGTTCAACTCCTTTAAAAAGTTGAAACCCAAGGACTCACGGAGATCTGGGGCTCCAGACGCGGATCTGTTTGGCTGGGCTGGGTGCCGGGAGCACTGGCCAGGGCGGCGGTGGAGCCGGTTCCCACGGCACAGCCCTTGGGCAGAGCGGTTAATCCCAAAGCCGCTTGCCCGGCTGATCACCTTGTCCTCCGTGCCATAATTAGCAGGCTGCGAGGGTGATTGCAGGCGCTGGTAGAGACATCTCAGTTTGTTTCTGCTCCTCTCCTTCGGTTTAAGGGGAGGCTGTGGACGTGCCCGGGTAAGTGGAAGCCTTTACGCTGCCTTTCCCGTCTGCTGGGGCTGGGGGGCTCAGACACGTACCCCTGAATGCAGCTGCGTGAGGGTTGCGGCCCTTCGGCTGGGTGCTGGTGCCTTTGTCTCAAGCCCACGTGTGCTAAACACACACAAGGGATGAAAACCCTGTTATTTTTGAAAAGCGTTATATTGTGCTTTTATGCTATATCGGCATTATATTATGCTGATCCATAATCTAGAGGTGTGGTCCCTTGTGTAACATGGTGAAGGGCTGAGGGGCCATTACCTGGAGCGCGGGCGCCTGACGGACTGCAGTGCAGCCTGCCGAAGGGGGGTAGTGGCGGCGGCGGGCTGGGTAAACGGGGTAAGGGCGAGGAAAACCGAGGAGCGCCCCTGTGGGAAGGGGGGTACGGGGCTTCC